GTGAATTTGTAGTTTGCTGTTATTTTCTTACTGTGAGGACCATCTTGATGACTTGTCACCTCTACATGTTCCTGGAACACAGACCTGGAAGCTCTGATGCCTCTTTATCAGTTAATGTATATTTACTTCATTTGTTCTTTTTCATTCCAGCCATTCACATTTCCTTTCATTTCTCATCTATGCCATCAAATGCAATCATTCTCTGTAGTAATGGAGTCACAAAATGAGCAGAAATTAACAGGGAAATTTACAGGGAAATAAACCCACTGAAGAAAGCTTGCCTCTTGTTCCTGTGAAAGGAGCATTCCTAGAAGGTCATTTGATTGAACTTGTGGTGTTTTCTATATTTTGTCGTAAGATTTTCTAGTTTTCTTTGTACTATCAATCCAATTACTGTGTATGAACCATAAACCCTTTGGAAAAATTCACAAAGACGTCACAGGATTACATGTCTGAATTTTCTGCTTTACAGTGACCTGATAATGATCTTCGGAGCTTTTTTTCTCTTTCATAAGGAAGAAAATCTTGTATTATGGTAAGAATATGGGAATTACTTTTGTATTTTTCTTTAATTGCACACTTTATCTTAGGATATTACACATGCCTTTGTAATTCTCATGCTGTGCCTTCTTTCCCCAAGAAAATTCACATCAGAAAATAAAAAATTGTATTAATAGTTGCGAAATCTTCCAAACTCCAGTCAGTCCTGGAGTGCTTTTTAAATCTGGACAGAGAATATTTATTTGAAGAGGATTGTAAATACAGTCAGAGATTATTTTTTTCCACTCCTGTGCCTTTTCTTCTTTCCTTTTCTCCCATTCGAAGTATATCATAATTAAGTGCACAAATATTGAGTATACAGAACAATTGTCTGTTTTTAGCTCTTACGTAATTCTCAGACTCAGCATTCCCTGCTCTATTTGTACCCAATTCAGTGGCAAGATTTATCAACACCATTAATAATTTTATAAACTTAAAATGAATGGATTTACACAGTGTGTATTCTTGTGTCTAGTTCCTTTGTTCATCCTGTCTGTGTGCATCATCCATGTGACTTGGGTATCACTAATTTATTCATTTGCTGTGTATCATTTTATTGTATTATAACATAAGTTATTTATTCATTCATTTTTAATATGACCCTATCTGACACATAGAGTTACAGAGAGCAAAAGAAGAGACAGAAAGAAAGGGGGAGAGAGAGATCGTCCATCTGCTGCTGGTTCACTCCCCAGATGACAATAACGACCTGGTCCGGGCTAGGCTCACATCAGAAGCTAGCACATTTGGGTCTATCATGTGAATGACAGGGGCTCAAACGCTTGGACTGTCTTCAGCTGCTTTCCCAGAAACATTGGCAGAGAACTGGATAGAAAGTGAAGGAACTGATACAGAACTGTCATCCACATAGGATATCACTGTTGCAGGTGTTGTCCCCAAGATGGAATGACACCATTCCACTGGCCACTCCCATTCATTTTTTGATGGACACTGGATTGAATTCACCTTTTTTTAAAAACTATTATATGTAGTACACCTGTGAGCATTCATATCTTTTGATTGACATATGTGATATTTTATTTTGGGTAACTACTAAGGGTACAATGCATGATAAGGGTAACATTCTTCTCTGAAATAGAAATGATAAAGTTCAAAAGTTCGTGTGGAACACAAGAGACTATGAATTGCCAAAACTATTCTGAAGAATAAAAATACAGCTGGAGGACCCACAATTCCAGACCTCAAGACATACCTCAGGGTCATCAAAATACTCTTGTACTCATACAGACACAGAGAAGAGGATCAGTGGAACAGAACAGAAACACCAAAAGGGAGCCCTAGCATGTGCAGTCAACTAATCTTTGGTATGAGAACTGAAAACAGTCTAGAGGAAGGGAAAAGCCTGGTCTCTTCAACAAATGATGTTGGGACAATAGGATAGCAGCCTGCAGAGATAAGAATTAAGACCCTCCCACTAGTCACATTTTACAAAAATCAGCTCTAATAAATCACCCTAAATCCGCATCCAGAAACCACCAAACTGTTGGAGGAAAACATAGGAAGCACTCTATAAGATATAGGGATTAGTAAAAACTTCTTAGAAAAGTCACCAAAAGCCCAAACAGTCAAAGCCAAATAAACCAGATAAGAATTTTCTGTACAGCAAAGAAGATGGCCAACAAATTGAAGAAGCAACCAACAGAATGGGAGAAAATCTGTACCCTGCACAAGCAAAGGGGGCTATAGCCAGCATTTACAAAGCGCTTCAGAAACTCAGCAACAGCGAAACAAACAACCCTGTGAAGAAATAGGTGAAGGAGATGAACAGATATTTTTCAAAAGAACAAATTCAAGTGGCTAATGGAGATATGAAAATATGCTCAGGATTCCTAGCTGTCAGGGAGAGACAACTGAAAACCATACTGAAGTTCCACCCAACCCCAGTGAGATTGGCCTGCATTCAGAACTCTACTAACAACACCTACTGAGGTGAATAAGGGAAGAAAAGTCGTCTCCTTCATTGTTGATAGAAGTGTAGGCTTCTACAGTCACATGCATGGAAGTTCTGAGACAACTGGAAGCTTGTTTACCATATGATCCACCTATCTTACTGCTGAGAATATATAAAAATAAAATGAGATCTGCATATGAGAACGTGACTCGCAATGCTATGTTTACAGCAGCACAATCAACAATAGCAAAGACTTGGAAACAACCTAGATGTCTGTCGAAAGAGGAGTGGCTGAATGCGGTACATTTATTCAGCCATTAAAAAGAATGAAATTCTACCATTTGCAACAAAATAGTTGCAACTAGAGACCAATATGCTCAGTGAAATAAGTCCATCTCAAAACGACAAATATCAAATGTACTCTCTGATGTAAGACAACTTTCATGCAAAATATCAATAGCCTTTCCAATACTGTTTTTACCATATCTCATGGGTTTTGATATTTTTGTTCTTATTTTCATTCCTTCAAAATAGTTTTTTCCCTTATTGAATTTTTTCACTGACTCATAGAAAACATCATTTTCTTCAAGAAGGTCTTTGAGTTTCTTTTTCATTTATTCAGTGATACATTTGTCAATCAGTCACATGTTGTTTAACTTAGTGGCATTGTAACTTTTCCTGTTGCTGATTTTGCTATGGTTTCCCATTTAAGCAGATGTATAGTAATTGTGTAATAGAGAATATCATATCCACATGTGAATATCATATCCAGAAGTATATGGATTTGTATCATAAAATAATAGAAAAACAAAACAAACAAAAAATGTGAAACGTAGGGAAGTCAATATGCATTTCTTATGGTTGCCAACTTTCCACTGGCAGTTTTCCTTGTATGGCTATAGAACACGGGTATCAATTCCATTCTGACTGTTTCCTATTGATTGCTTTAGGAAGTCAGTCATTTCTGGAATGCACAGTTTTGACACGGTGAAGCATATCTTCCATGATTTTCCTCTTTAATGATAAGTGAGTCAAAGGCTTTGTTTAGCAGTTGATTTAAATGTTTGCTTGCAAAGTTTCTACGCACAAGCCATAATTATTGATATGATTATTACAAGTGCTACTCCTAGTTTTAAAATTCTTTTTTAAATGGAAAATTTGATGGTATGCCCAAAAAATAAACTTGAAAAACAATCAGCTCTTTGGGAGAGAGTGGGTTGAACTCGGGTAGTTGTGCTTAATTTATCATGCAAATGTGCATCACTCCACAGCAATAGTAAAAACAAAAACACGGTAATTTTCCTTTATCTATAAGGCACATACCAAAGATTAAAGTTTTATCACCAATGACTTTTTTTTTAAGGTCTATTTATTTTTATTGGAAAGGTGGATGGATATACAGAGAGGAGGAGAGACAGAGAGGAAGATCTTCCGTCTGCTGATTCACTCCTCAAGTGGCTGCAGCAGCTGGAGCCAGGAGCTTCTTTGGGTCTCCTACATGGGTGCAGGGTCCCAAGGCTTTGGGCCGTCCTCCACTGCTTTCTCAGGCCACAGGCAGGGAGCTGGATGGGAAGCAGGGCCGCTGGGACTAGAACTGGCACCCATATGGGATCCCGGTGCATGCAAGGTGAGCACTTTAACCACTAAGCTATTGCGTTGGGCCCTGGACTTGCTTCTGAATGTGCAATTTCAAAACTGTCAATGGGATCCCAAACCACCTATAAGCTACGTGGTAAAATACTGTTTTATGTGTTTAGTCGTAATACAGGATTTTTGGAGAGGAGAGAATTCTCAAACATGGTAAACAGCTTACATTTTATTTCTTCTTCAGTTACCTTTAGTCTCTAAACTCAATTCTTCCTATAAAGAATTAATTCCCAGTAAAACAGACTTGGCAGAGTGTACTAGCAGACTGGATCTGTGTTACGTAAACCTGAATATCAGCTTCAGCTACTACTTGTTATAAACAGTTGGTTAAATTACTGAAACTTTTACATTGTTTCATCATGAATTATAACAAAAATAACTCACAATAATGGGATTGTTGTGTAATAATCATGAAGTACTTGGAATTGAATGACAATGGTGGAATATCAAGAAGCCACTATATTCACAGCTAATTAGAAAGCCAGTTCTCTATTTTCGGATATATCAGTTTGGGAATCATCATAGTAGGAGACGGCAAGTTGGAAGGAACATTTTCATTCCAAATTAAGTCACACACTCCACTCACCCAAGTCTAGAATTCACTGCCACTTTTCCTTTGCAGCTGCAATACACCCTCATTCCAACGACATTCCTTTGGTACGTTGTGGTGCAAGTAAGTACTCCTTGCTCCACTGTGATTGTAGACACACAGCTTTAGAGCAGCTCAGGAGATTGCAACTTCCCATAATCAAAGGCACTAAAACCCAGTTTAATGGGGAACTATTTTTTTTTTTCAGGCAAACTGCATGTCAAAGAACAGGATAGATTTCAAACTATCAGTAATAGCACAAACCATTTTGCAAGTCCTCTTTTTCCTCCCTACTCCACGGTCTGGCTTTCACTAGCACATTCGACAAAGCTCCCTCACATCCTTGCTCATCAGGGTATAAATCAGAAGATTAAGCATGGGAGTTATTACAGTATAGAAATGAACAACAAACTTTCCTTCACAGTAATTTTTCACAGGTTGGAGATAAGTATACATGCCTGATCTATAAAAAGACAACAATCAAAAGGTGGGACTCACACATTCCAAAAGCCTTTCTGTGTCCAGACATCGACTTGATCTTCAGCACTGCCTGGAAAAGGTGTACATAGGCGGTTAGAATGAATGTTACAGGGACCATCAACACTGTGGCTCTAAACACATGCATTTTCTTCTCCCTTTCTTCTGTGTCCTCACAAGCCAACTTAAGCAGTGCAGGCATCTCACAGAAGTGGTTTAGGTGATGGAGACCACAGAGTGGTCTGGTCATCATGAGGCTTGTCTGAATCAGAGAGTTCATGAAGCCTCCCACCCAGGAGGCAATACCCATTAGCTGGCATAACCGAGGGTGCATAACGGCAGTGTAGTGGAGTGGCCGACACACAGCAGCATAGCGGTCAAAGGCCATCACCACCAACAGCACACACTCAGTGGATCCCAGAGCCAGAGACACAAAGAGCTGTGTCATACAGCCACCATAGGTGATGGTCCGGTCAAGTCCATGCAGGTTGACCAGAAGCTGTGGCACAGTGCTGGTAGTATAGCAGAGGTCCAGGAAGGAGAGGTGGGACAAGAAGAAGTACATGGGCGTGTGCAGACGAAGGTCTAGTCGGGAGAGAGCAATGATGGTGCTGTTGCCAAACAGAGTTAGAGAGTAGAAAATTGAGATACAGACCAAAAGGAGGAGTTTGGCCCAGCACAGTAGCCTAGTGGCTAAAGTCCTTGCTTCGGATGCACCGAGATCCCATGGGGGTGCTGGTTCTAATCCTGGCTGCTCTGCTTCCCACCCAGCTCCCTGTTTGTGGCCTGGGAAAGCAGTCAAGGGCAGCCTAAAGCCTTGGGATGCTGCATCCCTGTGGGAAACCCAGACGAGGCTCGGGGCTCCTGGCTTCAGATCGGCTCAGCTCCAGCCGTTGTGGTCACTTGATAAATGAATCAATGGGTAGAAGATCTTCCTCTCTATCTCTCCTCTTTTTTGTATATCTGTCTTTCCCATAAAAAAAATTTTTTTTAAAGGAGGTGTTCCACTTGAGACCAGTCTGAAAAGCCTACCAAAATTTTCTGTCCTGGAAAGATCAGTGGGGTAAAAATTTTAAACTAATGTATAAGAATCTACAGGAGATAAATCTGGTGGTATGATGCTTCCAACTATATTTTACTTAGTATTGCTGTAGCTATTTGGTCTCTCTTCTGATTTCGTATGAATTCTGAGGCCATGTTTTTCCAGATCTGGGAGCATCATTGGTATTCTAATTAGGATTATTTTTAATTCTGCTGCCAAAACCATACTATTTGAATTAATGAAGCTTCATGATAGATACTTGTTAGGTGCTGAGAGTTCTCCAAACTTGTTTTTCTCCTGATTGATTTAGCTATTATATTTCTTATAAATCTACATGTATTTTTGTTTGTTTGTTTTTAAAATTTGTTTGAAAGTGTGAGTTACAGAGAGAGAGAGAGAGAGATCTAGCTACTTCGTCCCCCTAATGGCCGAATCAGGCTGAAGCCAGGAGGCAGGAGGTTGATCTGAGTCTCCCCTGTGGTGTGGCACGGGCCCAGGTGGTTGGGCCATCTTCTTTTTTCAGGCAATCAGTGGGTGGCTCAACTAGAAGCAGAACAAACAGGGCACAAAGCAGCACTCACAGAGCATGCAGCATTGCAGGCTGCAGCTCCATCCGCTATGCCTTGAAGCCAGCCCCGTCTTATTTTAAAAATAAAAAACTAACTTAAATGGATAAAGTTACTTAAAATGGTGGTCTACACAGCCTATTTTAAAATACAAAATACCCATTGCAGAATGGGTAAACCAAGCTAATGAATACATATTTGTCACTAGCTTCAGTGAGAGCACTTAAAATCTGTTTATATCCAGTCACCCACTGAAGAATTTTTTATTGGAAAACAAAAAAAATTTTATCTTGCTAATAAAGTTGACATAGGGGTACAGACAGCAAAATGAAGGCATTATGAGCCAGGTTTTTTTTTGCACAAGTCTGGGTTGCATATCGCACAACAAACACACACATGTTTACCTAGAGGCTAGGTACATGGTTGAAAATGCAAGTCTGGAGACAAAAGAAAATCAAGACTGTGGCAGAAATGTAGGAACAAGCATCATATAGATAGTATTGACAGACATAAAGCTAGGTGAGTGCACCCAGGGAACAAGCATGAAGAAAAATCTGAGAATTTAGAGGACAGCAACAGAAGTAGAATTACATTAAGGAAGAAGGAGAGAGGTTGTCTTGGAAGGTAGGTGAGGAAGGAGGTACAAGGTAAACAGTGCATTAATTATTGAAATAATGTTAAGTATCCTGGTAAAAAAAATTGTGTTTGGTTTTAGGTCAAATTGTGAAATGTTTCGGCTGGCATATGTAAACAATAAAAAATCTACAGCTTTAAGGAGAGGATCTAACCAACCTGTGTAACTCAGAGCCTCAGCAGCTTCCCTATTTGTAAAGCAGAATATTTTGTTACATCTTTACGACAAAATTTTATTGCAAAATTCTCGCTTGTGAGGACTGACCAATTTTCATCTCATATGGCTGCTGAAGGAGTCTGTTAACTCTCATTCAGTTAAGGAAATAAATTTCTAAAAGTTTGGAGTTTATCTGACATAAACGAACCTGCTTGTTAGGTAGGTAACCATGGCATTCCGTACCAGAGTTAAGAAGATATTTTTTTTTTTTAAGATTTATTTTATTTTTATTGGAAAGGCGGATATACAGAGGGGAGAGACAGAGAAGATCTTTCATCTGATGGTTTGCTCCCCAAGAGGGGGCAACAGCTAGAGCTGAGCCAATCCAGAGCCAGGAGCCAGGAGCTCTTATGGGTCTCCCACGTGGATGCAGGGTCCCAACGCTTTGCGCCGTCCTCCACTGCTTTTCCCTGGCCACAGGCAGGGAGCTGGATGGGAAGCAGGGCCACTGGCATTAGAACCGGTACCCATATGGGATCCCAGTGCGTGCAAAGCGAGGACCTTAACCACTACGCCATCACGCTGGGCCCAAGAAGATATTTTCAAAAGCCCTCCAATGACTTCAAATTGCCTTAAATTTAGTATGTGTTTGCACATGTAGAAGTCAGTTTTCACATAAACTTTCTGTTTAAGATTATGATCCTCTATCAACGCAAAACTATGCGGCATAACCATCCTAAAATTTGGTTGATTTCATTCAGCTCTAGCTGGCTTCTTGGTGCTTCCTGGGACTCCTCAGTCTACTGTGCAGGTTATTGTTTGCAGTTTCTGTGGTTTTCATTCTATTCAGTCCTTAAATCCTTTTGTACTTCTGTTATTTCTTAAATTACTGAAACTCATTTGATGCCAAGCTCTTTTGCCACTAAGCCTGCATGCTTAGCTGCACCTACATCAATATTTCTTCCTTCTGGCTTGTTTGTTAAAAGGAAGTGTACTGCTCTTGCTGCAATCTCACACTGCCTCATTCAGAGATCTGAGTCAACTGATCGTCCATTTCCATTCCTGAGTCTTCAGCTTCTTCCTCATTTTTTGTTTGTTCCGGTCAACATTTAATCATGTTTAAGTTTTCTTTCATCTTAAAATCCAGAGCAAATATTTCCCTGAGCGTGCATTCTCCATCATTCGTGTATTTTCCAGCTGTAGTGACTTTCCAATACCACCTCACTCTTAATAATATTTTCAGCTTACGACAGTTTTTCTTTGCACCTGCTACTCAATAATATTTCTATTTTCAAAGATCCCAGGGAAATTTTTTGTTCTTTCTAAACTATAACAAAATGAAACAAAGCAAAAACCTTTTTGGGGTCCAGTGTTGCCTATCAGTGCCAACATCCCACATGGGTATTGGTCTGAGTCCCGACTGCTCCACATCTTATGTCATTTCCTGCTAACGCTCCTGGGAAAGTAACAGAAGATGTCTCAAGTGCTTGGGCTCCTAAACTCATCCAAAAGACCTAGAGGAAGCTCTTGGCTCCTGAGTTCTTGGTGCCCCTTGGAGGGTGAACCATTTTGACACAAGTGAACCCTTTAGCAACTTGGTAATCTTTAATTGAGCATCTCTCTTCTGGTTCCTACAGCACTACTCTCACTCCTCTGGTTTGTTTCCTACTTTTCAGCCTGTTATTGTAAGTATGAAGGTTGTTCTATTTTCCTCTGGCATTCGTCTCCCTAAATATCATGTAGTACACCTTCACTTTTTATCATTTGAACATTTTTTATGGGCAGTCTTATCCCTCTCACATCTTTAGTTACAAAGCCACAGGAAAGGCTGGTGGTGTGGATAGTCAATTAGAATGTCACCTGCTGGCATCACAGATGGATACCAGTTTGAGACCTGGCTGCTCTGCTTCTGATTCAGCTTCCTGCTAATGGGCCAGTGAAAGCAGTGAGGGTAGTCCAAGCATTGGCTGCTGCCATTCATGTGGAAGATCACAGATCTGGCACAGACCTAACTATTGCAGCCAAGTGAACCGGCGGATGGAAAAGCTGTGTCTGTCTTGGTATTTCTCTTTCTTTGTAACTATGACTTTCAAATAAATAAATGTATTGCTAAAAAAAAAAAAGAAGAAAGAAAGAAAACAGGGCCTGGCGTGATAGCGTAGTGGTTAAGGTCCTCACCTTGAATGCGCCAGGATCCCATATGGGTGCCGGTTCTAATCCCGGCAGCTCCACTTCCCATCCAGCTCCCTGCTTGTGGCCTGGGAAGGCAGTAGAGGATGGCCCAGAGCATTGGGACCCTGCACCCATGTGGGAGAACCAGAGGAAGTTCCTGGCTCCTTGCTTCGGATTGGCACAGCACTGGCCGTTGCAGCCACTTGGGGAGTGAATCATCAGATGGAAGATCTTCCTCTCTGTCTCTCCTCCTCTCTGTACATCTACCTTTCCAATAGAAATAAATAAATCTTTTTTTAAAAAAGAAACAAACAAAAGCCAGAGCCACAAGAATAATTCTTTTTCAAACAAAAACTAGACCAAAATCATACAAATAATAAGACACAAATTCTATGAAAAATCTATTAATTAAAACACGAGGGTCTAGAGGCTAAAAAAAAAAATTGAGAAATTTAAAAAATGACTTTATCCAAGTAACCTAATGTTTATTATCTCGTTTCTTCCTTTCTTTTGTGTATAATAGGTATTAAAACACTTCTCATAAATATTAACCAAATAGTTTGGAAAACAAAGCAAGATCATGAAAGTATATAAAGGTATATGAAAAGCAATGATTTTAAATGATTAAACATGATTCCAGGTGTGACTGGAAACAGAGCTTAAACTTACAAAGAGACGCATTGTCTCCTGTCATGCTCTCAGCCCCAAGCCTTAACCTGCAGCACTACCCACTTTTCATTATGGTTGTTTCTAGCTTTTGTCTTTTTCCCCCTTGGGTTTGCCATTGAATCCCCATTCCATATATTTATGCCTCCCTTTCTTGATTTACCAATTTTTTGACAATATAGATTAATTTCCATGGGGAAATATGAAATTTCTTATAATGTACTTTTAAGAGTGTTTTATTTGGGCCCAATACAATGGCTCCGTCTCTGGTTAGTGTCCCAGCTACTCCACCTCCTATCCACCTTTTTGATAATAGCTTAGGAAAGCAGTGGAGGATGGTCCAAAGCTTTGGGACCCTGTAGCCACGTAGAAGACACAGAAGAGGCTTCTGGCTCAGGAAGACTCAACCATTTTTGGGGATGATCCAGCAGATGGAAGACCTTTCTGTCTCTCCTTCTGTCTATAAAATTTGCCTTTCGATTAAAAAAAAAAAAGAATATGTTGCTCTGTGACATAGTAAATTAGAAGCCAAAATTGCTTTCATACCATTTCATTATGAAGTGGCTTCTGTCTATTTGTGGGGACCCTTCTCTCTTATGACTCTTTCATTCTGGAAATCTTCAGTGTCATCCGCATCCAGCTAGCAGAAGGAGGAAACGAATATAAAAAACTTTGCACACCTCTTGAAATCCTTGGCCTAGGGCTGGAATTGTGGCTCAGAATGTTAAGCCTTTGCCTTTGAAACAGGAGTCCTATATGGGAGTGCCTATTGTAGTCCCAGCTGATCCACTTCCAATCCAGTTTCCAGCC